TTGTTTTAATAAGATGGAAAGCCACTGAAAAGTTTTGAGCAAAGAAATTATGTGATTCAATTATGTTTTGACAGGATTTCCCTTACTACTGTGTTGAGATGGAGAGATGGAAGTAGAGAGCAAAGATATGTATGTGTATAGATAGATATAGATATATAGATATAGATATTTATCGACTCCAGAGAGGAAGGGAGAGGGAGAGAGTGAGAAACATCAATGATGACAGAGAATCATTGATCGGCTGCCTCCTGCACGCCCCCTACTGGGGATTGAGCCCACAACCCGGGCCTGTGCCCTTGACCGGGAATTAAACCGTGACCTCCTGGTTCATAGGTCAATGCTCAATCACTGAGCCACGTGGCCAGGCATCACTTTCTTACTCTCACCTGTGCCAGGAGTTAGGGGAGGAGCAGGGGGAGGTGTGGCACGTGGTGGCGCTGTGATCATAACCGTGTGCGCTCTGGGAAGCGGGAGGAGGCAGGGGTGAGACGGGGGCGGCCAGGAAAGAACCCCAAACCGAGGAAGAGAGCCTGTCAGTCATTCTCCGAGAGCAGGGATGCCTGTCCCCGAGGGACCGCCTCTCATAAGACCACCCTCGGCTGGACGAAAGTGCATTGCAGATTTGCTCTGTGCTGGGCACGTGCTAACTCTCTGGGCACAGCCTAGTGAGCAGGACCTATAGGGTCCCTGTCCCACTGGAGCTCACAGGCTGATCTTAGTGACCATGTCAGGGCCGTCAGATGCTTGGAAAGGCTGCTTCCTATCGCATTAATGCATCATGCCTAGAGTTGCTTCATTCATTCATTCATTCATTCATTCATAGGGTCATGAAGTGATTCACTTCCTCATTCCTTCATGTTGCCAACATTTTACTCCACTAGGGGTACTGATGTGGGGACTCCGTGGTGAATGGACACAGGCCTTGCCTCCAGGAGTGGCGGCTGGTGGGGGACCTGCAGGCTGTACCCAGGAGAACTGCTGGGTTATCTGCTTCCCCTGGACTTGCAAACAGCTGTTCCCACGTCAGAGATAAGAGCCCCAGCGGCATTTACTGCATGCTTAAGGTCTTCTCCGGAGAGGAGCAAATGAAGGAAAGCATCTAATGTAAGCCACACAAAGATTTCCCCTTGAGCCCGGCCTTCACCAAACACCAGTTATGACCTTGGGAGGGTCACCTGTTTCTCCCTTACACAGTCTTCCTACTTCCAAGGGTAAGAGTGAGATAAGTGAGATGAGGCATATGAAGCAAGCGTTGCAGTTTGGGGCCACAGTAGGTCCAATTCTTGAGTTAGGATGTGACTGAAAGGAAGGAACCAGGGACTTGCTGATGTTTGTGCGTGAGGCCACAGTCCCACTCTGGGATGAGGCTCAGGCAGCACTAACTGTTCACTGACAGACACTCAGGAGATTATGGTGAAGAGCCAGGAAAAATGGAGGCTTGGGGTGAGGATAGAAAAGGCGAGGATCCATGTTCCCATGAAACACCACGGGACTTGGGAGTTTAAGCGAGTCTCCTGCACCTGCTTTTTCCAGGGCACGCGGTGTCCGTGCAGCTGCTTCCCAGGCCGCTTTGTGACGGTTATTTTCAGCTTGTTGATGCCCAGATAATGGGCAGAACAGAGCTCCCTCTCAACGCCATGATCTCTACTTCCTCCCAGTGGAAATGAGGTCAAAACGGGGGGTGGGGGCGCGAGGGATAGGAGTAAGGTGGGGTGAGGCTAGGGCTGAGCTCAGAGGTACCCATGGCCCGCATCGGTAGGAAGAAACTAGAGGGCTTTAGCTGTGGACGACACAACGTCACGAAGTCTCCAGCGCTAAAAAGGAGCCCGTCCAATGGCTCTTGTCAACTGCTCTGCTGCCTCCTTGTTCAGCCCGATATGTGAGGAGCTGGGAGTCATCACTCCCCTCTTCCCGACAAGGAAAGAGCTGAATAAAGTGAGGATCCACGTGGGCCTGTCAGAGAGCGCAGGTCACAGGGCAAACTGCCACCCTGGCATCTCGAGAGGGAGGGGAACACCGAGCCCCCGGATGCCTGCCTCCTGGGGGCAGAGGTCGCCGGCCATCAACCCAGAGGGACGGACACCCGAATGGTAATTCAGACAAATCATGGGAGGCTGAGTGTAGTCGGGGCCGAGAGAGAGAAACTCCCAGGGCTGAGGGATGCTTTCCTGGGTTTTTCATCCATGAACTCCCCAGTTCTCACGGATCCAGCCTAACAGTGGGTTACAGCCAGCAGAGCTACAGGACTATTTAAGAGTCCGCAGGGAAGCCCACGGACAATGAAGGAGACAGAAACAGGGACGTTAGAGGAATTTGAAGCTTCTGACACCTCCAGCTACAGCAGACATCACACAGCCCAGCTACTGGCGGCTTGAACAGCAGATCTCACACAGAAGTCCTGTGCACCCGATACATCATGTCCAGCTTTCAAATCAGGAATCGTAAGGCCAGAAAAAACAGTATGAAGGGACAAAACAGGCATCAGAACTAGACTCAGAGATGACACAGACTTTGGAATTACCAGACAGGGAATTTAACTATGATTAATACAGTAAGGAACCCAGTAGAAAAAGATGACAGCATGCAAGAAAATATGAATAGCGTAGGAAGAGAGATGGAAACTCTAAGACTGAAAAGTAAATTCTAGAAATGAAAACACTGTAACAGAAACGAGAAATGCCTTTGGTGGGGTCATCACTAGCTGGACACGCTGAGGGGAAAATCATTGAGCTGGAAAATATGCCAACAGAAACTCACCAACAGAAAGGCAAAGAGAAGAAAGCGGGGAGTAGCAGAAGACCTATGACCTTGGGGACCATTTCCAAAGGTGTAACACATGCAAAGTGGAAATCGCAGAAGGAAAAGAAAGAGACAACAGAATGGGAGAAATATTTGAAGTATTATTGGCCAAGAATTTTACAAAATTAATGACAGACACCAAACCACAGACCCAGGAAGCTCACAGAACATCAAGCAAGCTAAACACCAAATAATCTACATTTCGGCCTAGTGTGTTGAAACTGCAGAAAACTTGAAGACAAAGAGAGAAGCTTGAAAGAAGCCAGAAGTGAGCGGGGAGGGGGCACGTTACATAGAGAGAAATAAGAAGAGGATTACTGCAGACTCCTCTTCAGAAACCAGGAAGGCAAAAAGAGAGGCGGGAAATATTTAAAGCGCTGAAAGAAAAAAAACCACCCACCTAAGCCACCAACCTAGTATTGTCTATTCGGCAAAATAAACTTTCAAAGGTACCAGAGAAATAAAGACATTCTTTGACACACAAAAGCTAAGACAATTCATCCAGCAGACATGTTAAAATAAGTTCCTCAGGGGAAGAAATATAACAGGGGTCACAAACTCAGATCAATGTAAAGAAAGAATAAATGAAGGAAAAGGAAGTCTTATTTTCCTATTCTTAATTGATCCAAAAGACACTTTTCTGTTGAACATGACAATAGTAATAGTGTACTGGGTAAGGACAGCATATGGGTAAGTGAAATGAAATACAGAAATGGAAAGGGAGAGGTGGTGTAGTGTGACTTTGAAGAGTTGTCATGCATGTGTTTTGCAACTCCAGGGCAACCACTAAAACTTTTAAAAAGTATAACTGACATGCTAAGAGGGGACATAAAATGAAATCACATAAAATGCTGTTAAAACCAGAGAATGAAGAAAAAGGGGGGGGGGGAATCAGAGGCAAGAAATATAAAACAGTCAACAGGCATGGTAGATGTTAATAGAACCGTCTAAGTAATCTTAACCTTAACTATGAATGGCCTAAATGACCAATGAAAGAAGAGAGATTATCAGAGCGAATGAAAAACAAGATAACTATGTGTTGTCTACAAGGAACCCAGGTTAAATATAAAGACTCAGGCTAAGGGACAAGGGGTGGGGGAGACAGACCATGCGAACACTAACCGAGAGCAAGCCGGCGTAGCTACATTCATTTTATATAAACCGACTCAGAAGAAGGGACAATGTCAGGGACAAAGAGGGGAAATACGTGATGATAAAGGAGTCAATTCTCTAAGAAGACACAATCATCTTCAAAACGCAGGCACCTAACAACAGAGTGTGAAACACAGGAGGCAACAACGTTGAGACCTACGAGGAAAAGTGGACAAGCACAAACACTGTGACCGATGAAGAGTTCAGCACCCTCTCAGTCACTGGCCGCCAAGCAGGCAGAAAATTCGGGCAGAGTTGACCCAACAGTCCTACCAACCAACTTGCTCTAACATTTATGGAACATTCCACCCAACAACAGCACAGTACACCTTCTTCTCGAGCTTGCAGGGAACACTCACCAAGACAGACCCCATTCTGGGCCATAAAACACACCTTAACACACTGAAAAGAGTGGACGCGGTGCAAAGTAGGTTCTCCGGCCACCTGGGTTGAAACTGAGAAATCAGCAATAGAAACAAAGCCAGAGAACATGCAAGTAACTGGTGCTTCCCCAACACACTCCTAAGTAACCTCAGCGTTCGAGAAGAAGCCTAAAGAGAAATTAAAAGATATGCGGGACGAAACGAAAATCCAGCGCGTCAAAATCTGCGGGACGCAGGGAAGGCGGCGCTCAGAGGGAAACTGGTAGCACTGAGTGTATACAATAGACACGGAGAATGATCCAGAATCAGTAACCTTCGCTTCTACCTTAAGAAACTGGAGGGAAAAAGAGCAAAATAAGCCTAAGGCAAGTAGAAGAAAAGAAATAACAAACACGAGGGTAGAAACCACTGAAATAGAACACAAAAGTGACAAAACCGATGACGCCCGAAAGCTGTTGTTTGAAAAGCTTAAGATGCTCTCCTTTGTCCTCGAGCTCCCTCGGGCCACAGAAGAGGGGGGCCAGGGACTCCTGACTCCACTGAGGGCAGCTCAACTACCACCCTCCCAGCCTGGGCCCCCCAGCACCACCGGGGCTGGGACACCGCCCCCTCAGCCTGGGCCAGGGCAAGGTGGGTGGGGGTCTGTGGCTTGGACGTGGTTATTCGATTGACTGCCTCCTGCACTCCCCTCACTGGGGACCGAGCCCAAACCCAGCATGTGCCCTGACCGGGACTTGAACCGTGACCTCCTGGTTCCTAGGTCGACGCTCAACCCCGGAGCCACGCCGGCCGGGCTCTTTGGCTCTTTAGCTGGCATCTTTAACACGCCTTCCAGGCGCCTTTCAGAGCCATGTGAGAACACAGACCAGACAGTTACGTCTGCCACCGGGCCCGCGTGTCTGTTTCTGACGGAGCCAAGCTTGGTTGGTGAACATATAAACCACCAGGGCCGCCCTGGACTTCTCCCCCACCCCCTCCCTCTTTGGCTTGGAGTGGGCAGGGCCGCTCCCAGGGTGTCCTCCAGGGCCACCTCAGTCATGGGCAGCTGCTGTCATGCCCTCCTGGAGGCCTCGGGACGCACAACAGGATGTGACTCAGGCCGCAGGGATGTGAGTCAGTCTCCGGGGCGATGTGTCAGGGCGAGCCCCGGGGGTGGCCGGCATCTCCCACTGGGACCCTTGGGAGGAACGGCAGCTCCCCGCAAACACAAGGGGCGCCTGAGCCTCGCTGCCACCCCAGGATGGTGCGAGATCGGCCTTGAGGCCAGGCGTCGGGTCATTCTCTGCTGTGAACAGGGACGACCCTGAAAGCCCCACTGTTCCCTGAAGCCCTGATCCCCCCCTGGCCCCTGCAGCAAAAGGGCAGCCACCGGGGGCAGCGGGGGGGGGTGGTGGTGTAGGTAGCACAGGCTGCTATCAGTGGAGTCCCATGGTAATGTGAGTCAGTTCCCACTAGCTCCGAGTCCTGGAAGAGGAGAGGTTGTGAAAGACGCTGGTATTTGCCAAGCGCTTGTCTCCGCTGGCTGCAGACATCTGGGTTAGTCATGCACGGCCAGCCGGGCGCATTCATTGTTCCGGCAATTACTCTGCAGGGAGGCATCCAGCGCCAAGCCGGGGCAGAGCCCTGCCCAGGGCGCCTGCCTCCGGGCCCTCCGGGGTGTGAGAGACCTGTCCTCGCAGCCGCCCCCTGC